AAGTTGCCAAGACTGAGAAACACTGCTCTAGGGAAAAGGGGCTGAAACATTCTGTGAGGCCAGGACAATGAGGTAACATTCAGAAGTGACTCAGGAAGACGCCTCCCTAATTCACAGGACCATAAGAACAGGGAGGAGGTCCAGAACAATCAGAGTTGCAAGTTTCTGTTTTTGTAGCCAATCTTAATAAAAGTTTCTTAGCTTTCCTGTGGAGTTGATTTCCTGGTCTGGTCTGTCTAGTGGGGTCGACACCGCAAAATACAGATTTTCCCCATTTTCTGCGTGGGAGTCCTTCAGCAGGCTCTTATATTCTGATTCTGTGGCTCTTTCCCCTCCAGCTGCCAATGTTAAAACTGGTGAGATTTTCCATGCCACATTTCCAGACCGAGGACCTGATGAGGACATGCGGTCTGCCAGGATCTTAGCAGGAGCAAAGGTTAGCAAAGAATGTATAAACTGTGGGAGAGGGAACAACTCTTCAGACAAAATGGGGTGTGATGTTCCTTGATTCACCAGTGCTTTCAGCCTTATGCTCCAACCGTATATGCAGATGGGAAGAGCTGCACTGCTGTTCTTTAGAAACATTCTTTGGTTTCGTTTTGCTCTGTTTCTTGGCTGAAACGTTTGCCAGCATGACTTATAAGAAGAAAGCCCACCTTTGCCAAAGACTTTTAGTCTAAAAGACACATCATAGAACAAAATGTCATGGGGAGCGAGGAGGAAAAACACAAACTTAGTTGGACGCGGTAAAGTGGACACCTGTATGCTTCTCTGGGATGAACCACCAAGATTGCTAGCCTTATTTTATTTTTTTAAAAAGTCCTCTGTGTCTCCATGGCCACCAAGAATTGTTTCCTCCATGGCCAGCTTGGAAATGAATCTGGGAGCATCTCATTGTAATGGAGCATGGGAATGACCTTGAGAGAGAGGAGAAAGAGCCACAGCCAGGACAGTATTTGGATAAGCGGCAGTTGAGCCCACAGAAGGAATGGGGGCGTGGCAAACGTCTCAGAAGGGACCCTCCCTAGTTTCTTGGACTGTAAAGGCAAAAGGGGAGAGATGTACTTTCCTTGGCATTAGAGAACGTTGCTTTCTTGGCAAGGTTCTCTAACGCAACCACACAATAAAGATAGGGCTAGTACTTTTGGGTGTGCTTCTTGTCTGGATTACATTGGAAGGCTGACGCTCATTGACAAGGGTGCTTATTTCTTTGCAGAGATTTCACCACTGGCGACTAGGGGAGTTCAACACAAAGTTGTGTTCCCTTGTATGTAATTTGTTGGCAGACCCTACAGGTTTGATGTAGACTTCACTCCTGGCTGAGCCTCCATAGCTTGCTTTCCACATCAGAACTACTTTGCTTTAACTAGGAGAGTGTCTGTTCCCTGATAAGACCATCTTCCCCACCCAGGGCCTTGTTTTATTTAAATACCCCGTCAAGGCCTTGAGGGAGAGGGTCCTCCTCTGTTTGGTGCAGTGGTTAGGGTGCTGGACTAGAAAATGGGAGACTGTGAGTTTTAGTCCTTCTTTAGGCATGAAAGCCAGCTGGGTGACTTTGGGCCAGTCCTTCTCTCTCAGCCCAACCCTCTTCATAGGGTTGTTGATGGGAGAATAAGAGCAGGGAGCGTTGAGCTGTACAGAAAGAGGATATAAATCTAATAAAATAAAGTGAATTGGTGGAAACAGATGGACAGGATGCGGTAGTACAGTGGTGCAGGATTAACATGGCTTATGGTTCTGCTGAGGAGCCAAGGGTTTGTTCTGCACTTGGTTCAGTTTCACCTGCAATAACCTGCTGAAACTGTATTGTCTCTTGTAGATGATTAGCATTTATGACTCAAAGAAGGAACAGCTTTGCATTGGGCCTTACTACTGGATGCCTTTCCCCCATGTGGATTTCTGGTTGGAACAGAGCAACCAGAGCATCTTACAGGTAACCAATGTTTGTCAAGAACATAAGGGACCCCAGTTGGTGAAAGATAGCCTGAAAGATTGCTGAGTTCATATACTATGTTAGGCCATATTATGGTGTCTTTAGTTTTTGTTTAGCATTTTCTATGTCTCCAGCCATCATGGTTTGTAAACCATGGTTCACTGCAGTGTGTGCTCCCAGGAGGCTGTAACTTAACCAGCAAGCGATGGGGAAGCAAACCGTAACTTCATGTAATGTCTGAATGCCAGTTGAGCATTCAGTCAGGGTTTATTCAACCTTGGTTTATGGAACTGGCTGCAGAAGGTTGGGTTCCTATGACGTGCTAAACCATAAACCAAAGAAAGTCTTTGTGGCTTCTGTCACCGCTACATCTATTGACTTTGTGTGCAGGAGGAACATGTTTTGATAGGCTTATGAAAAAGGTACCCTGTGAATCTCACATGCCAGTGTCCTCAAATATCCCTTTTTGTATCTTTGCAGAATCTTTCCACGTCACCCCTGGCTGAGCCACCACATTTTGTTGCACACATCAGAGCTACTCTGCTTTACCTAAGAGAGCATCCATTCCCCGATAAGACTCTCTTCCCTACCCGAAAACCTCGCCTCTACAAAAAAAATGCCGAGGGCTTGTGGGAACGAGTCTCTTCTGACCAGATCTAACCAAGAGTAGAGAAACCAGGAACACTCTGGAAGTGGGATTGTGTCAAAAAAGGTGGCAGAGACCCTCCCCATGGCATGAACATTTACCTGGTGAGCCCCCACAAAAACATTAGGGAAAACCGGTATGTTGCATTTATAGGATGGCATTGCATCCCCCGAGTATCCTGTGTTTTCCAAAATAGCCGGTCAATTCAGTGCAAAACTGGGTAATGTTTACACATTTCATGGGGATAGATCCAAAGTTCTCAGGAACATAAAATGGGCCTTGGTCTTCCTGCGAAGGAGAAGATAGAACCTGATTTTTGGTATTCCCATTCTGCTCAGTCATTTTCTTGCTTTAATCATTTGTTCGGGACCAGCGTCTGGTTGAGCAAAGTAGCTCTTCTGCCTGCTTGATCAGAACAATGTCCTTCGTAAAGGGTCAGCCGGTGATGTGCAGAACCTTCCTGGGCATGTTCTCCTGTTGGAAGGAAGCATTCCGGGCACCGTTTTATAGTCAAGCGTGGTCCATTTCAAGGCCAGACCTATTCCAGTGAGGCTGGAATGACCCTTTCCAACAGGGGGACGGTTCTAATAGGGTTGGAACAGGACACTGAAACAAGACGCTTCAGAGTTAGAACCTTCTGACCTAGACGATTTTGCTCACCTCGAGAGCTATCCCTATAGTGTTGTGGGAGATTTAAAATGAAGCTTTGACCTTGCTTTATGCCACGTGAGTGGAAACTGCTCCAAGCTAATAATAGGTGTTTGTGCTGGGGCTCTGGGCAGTTGCTTCAGAATGTTGACCCTGACATCCTTCCTGGACTGAGGACCAATTGTATGCAAGTGAACCACAGATTTGTTGGGTGGAGATTGGCTACATACCTATCTGCTGATGGGATTTCAGATTGTAGTGCAGCTCAACAGGGGGGTGATTCTCCTCAATTCCTTTCTATTTTATACCATTGAACCTCCATGACCAGTTGTGATTCCTGCAAGAAAAACGAGTGGCTTCGGATATGACTTTCAGGGGACATGTTTGTAGGGGCAGGGTTCTGGTTTTGTTTTGTTTTTTAGCTATATTTTTCCCCGCTGTCCAGCTTCCTGTTCTGTCGAAGAGAAACTGGTAGAATCTGGTCTGATCCTCACCATTGAGATTCTTGAGAGTCTTTGCAGTACCCAAGGAGATGGGATTTTAATGAACCAGATCGACCAAATCCTTGAATGTAGCCAAAATAATAATAATATGATGATGAAAAGCAGTACTAGCTTAATTTTCTCCCTTTGCTTTACCCCCACACCTTTCTTTTTCACCCTAGGCCTCATTTCTAACAAGGATCCAACAATTTTGTCAAGTGTATTATTTTTGTTAATTAAACCCAAAAGCTTTTCAAACACTTTCGCAGGTAATGAAACTTAAAACTGTTTACAATTTAGCTGGTTTTCTTCTGGGGTCCATATGGGTGTCTGATATTTGGGTGCTTTTCCTTCTGTTGGTTGGTCTACAATTTCTGTGCGAGGCTGAAAATAGCACTCGTGGGTTTGAGTATGTCCCACTCCAGCCCCAAGAAAGCTAATCATGGCATGAACAAGATGTGTGTGAAAGAATGGTGCATCGTGGAATGAATTGTGGCACAGAAGTGCGCTCCGTTTTTTAGCCCCAGAGTACATCATATTGCTTTTATTCTTTTTAAATTTGGGGGCTTGGAACAATGTTTCTCAGCCTTGGTGACTTTAAGGTGGGTGGACTTCAACTCCCAGGATTCCCCAGCCAGCATGCTGGCTGGGGAATCCTGGGAGT